CAGTGTGATGCTTTGTGGCTTTTCTACACACCATTTAAAGATGTGCACATACAGGGGAAGGGGAGGGCAGAGCTCAGAGCACGTGCCTAGTCATCACAAGGTCCTGGGTTCAATCCCCAGTATCACCATTAAACCAAATAAATAAATAAACCTAATTCCACCTGCAAAAACGATGTGCATGTGTGCATATTTGGTATTGCACTAAAACGTGACAAACAGTAAAGGCCAGGTTTGAAGGCTTACACTAGCAAATCTGTACCAAGTGAGCTGGGAGAGGCAAAGGGCATGAGACACTCTGGAGACGTTCCCTGCTGCCAGACGCTTCCCGTGGGTGCACTAGGAAGGACCCTTCTTCTGAGCACACCACCAGCAGCAACTGGGGGTCCAGCTCAGCTCCTGTCCTGTCCTTCGCGGTCTCCTGATGGATGGTGACCACATGGGGGTAAGACACAGACATTACATCCCATGAGAACTGTCTGCATCCCTCTAAACCCCAGGGAAGAGCTTGAATGTGGAAAGGAAGCAAAAGTGAATGGCACATTCTGTCCCTCAGCCAGACTGACTGTATAACAGAGAGAAGGGAAATGATCCAACTTAACTAGTAATATGATGTCTTTTTCAATGTGGTTGGCTACAAACCTCTTACATGAGTAATTAATTGTAATCATACACACAAACTATGGGGGTGGGGGGAGCTTCATAAAAGTACTGCTCTTGTAAACTGAAGTGCAGTCCTTTATTATTACTTTGCCAGAATTCCACATTCTTCAAGGGTGGTTTATTACAAGGCACCAAACAAACGGGGATAAAGACCTATGCAGCCAGCTCCAGAGGGCTTCACACAGGATCTGAACGCTGGTCTCCAGTTTGTTTCTAAACCATGCACCTTATCAGTAAAAAAAAAAAAAAAAACAAAAAAACACCTCCCTTTCTCACCTCTTGTTTCATGAATGCTTTTTTCTCATTTTATAAAACAAAGTGTCTCCCCTAACTTACTATGATACATTTCCTTGGGGTTTGAAAACGTGCTGAGTAGCAACAAAGGACAAGATTGCTTTCTTACTGAGAAAATGGATTGCGCTAAAGACTGCTTTAAACAATCTTTAAAAATTAGGCAGTTTCCAATTACTTGTCTTCAACAAAATTGAAGGTAAATCTAATCAAGTTGTTAATTAAGAGAAGATTAAAACATATCTTTACAATCAATTGCTAGGTGATTTGGGGCATATAGCTCATAAGGCATTAGAAGAATTGTATATTACTGTTATAACGAAAATTACTCCATTCTCAGCTACTGAACTATTTGAATAAAGTTTCTCAGAATCTGAATTAAGATTTGATGCTGGAATTCTGTTTCATTCTGAAAACAAGTAAATATTCATCCACAGTTACACGGACTAATTAAAAAAGAAACAGCCTCATTCATCTCATTAATACACACCTTTTCAATACAGTATTAACATTACTTCTAGTAATTACTTCTCCAAATTCAGATTATACTTACGTTTCTGTGGCCAACTAAAAATAAGTATTACATTGAAACTGTATTCTACTTAAGTTAAGAAATATAAAAGGTATAGTAACTTCATGTTTAAAAATTTGTTACATTAAGGTAAAAAAATATGGGGGAATGCAGAATCTAAACATAAGAGAAAATTTAATTAAATCATTAAATTTTATTCTGGACTGTTTTTTTCGTGTGTATGTGTAGAAAAGGGAGCCCTCATACACTGTTGGTGGGAATGTAAATTGGTGCAGCCACTATGGAGAAGAGTATGGAGGTTTCTCAAAAACCCAAAAACAGAACCACCATTGACTGTTTTTAACTTGCAAGTTATGGGTGTTAAAACACGTTAGTATTTATATTCCATTTTATCCATTTAAAAGAATGATGCAATGGTATTATTTTAACACGTCAACATTTATCTGAAGATGGAACCTGAATCATCTGAAACTGTTTAAATACATGATAAAAGTACGTGTGTCTCTATTTAAAATTCACAAGGGTCCATATAACTTTTCAAAACTCCTTCCAGTGACACTGGATTATTTTACATGGCAGAGGACTATCTGCTTCTGGAATAGAATGGAGCTGAGACACTGTAACATCAAATGTGACAAAACCTATTTTCTTTCTCAGATTTTGAATTAAAGTATAAATTAAATTTCTACAAGTCTATTCCAACATTTGAATGGATTATCCAGCATATCTGAAATGTATCTGGTTCTTTATACTCCATTTCTGACATCTAAGATCCAGAATATA